TTGATTCAGTCAAAATATTTTGGGCCTAATATGCGCAGAGAAATCAATAATTGGATTTCTGCTTGTATAAGTTGTCAAAAATCTAAAATTTCTAAACATACTAAGACGCCTGCGCAAAAAATTAGCATTCCATCTGGACGATTTGAACATATTCATATGGATCTTGTTGGTCCATTACCTGTGTAAAAAGAAAATCGTTACATTTTAACTATCATTGATAGACATACACGTTGGCCAGAAGCATATCCACTTAGGGATATTTCAGCAAACTCTATAGCAACAACATTTGTTCAAAATTACGTTCCTCGTTTTGGCATTCCTCTTTATATAACGGTAGATCAAGGATCACAATTTATATCCAAATTGTTTACAGAATTAACTAAATTGTTAGGATCACATAAAATCATACGTCTCCATATCATTCCCAATCAAACGGAATGATTGAAAGATTTCATAGGACATTAAAGACTGCTATTACTGCTTCGGAGGATTCTACTCACTGGTCTGAAATTCTTCCTTAGATATTATTAGGATTACGTACCTCTGTTAAAGACTATTTAAAATGCTCTTCTGCAGAATTAGTTTATGGACAAACATTAAGATTACCAGGTGAATTAGTTGTTACGAACAGTTATAATACCCAACAAGCAAAATAGACTTGAAGAAAGTTTTTTTTAAGTTTTCAATTATAAACATTAAGCTTTCAAAATGTTGATTTTTTGTTTATAAAATGCTTGAAAGTAAGCGTAATATAATCGAAAAGGAACATTGGTTATAAGCGTAGAAATATAAACTTGTTATAAATGTTCAAAAGAAAGCTTTTTATAAGCGTAAAAGTGTAAACTTATAATAAAGGTTCAAAAAAAGTTGTTTATAAGCGTATGAATATAAACTTAGTAAAAATTTTCAAAAGAAAGCTTTTTATAAACATTTTTATAACTCTTTATTTAAAGATATTTCACTAAAAACTCATACATAGATTGCTTAACATCTAGAAACTAAACGAAATGCGAATTTTCGGCGGACTCATCTACAATCGCGAAAATATAAATAGGGAATAGACATTTTAGCATACAAATTCACGATAACACACAAAAATTAAGCATAAAAAAGTTAATTATTACATCTTGTTGCGTGCAACAGCTTTTAATAACATGCGCGTTATTGGCAAATTGGAAAAACGACATCGATGCAGCTATATATTCCGCTTCATCCCCGCCATCATCTCTCATTTATGGACTTTTCTGAAAAAAAATTAATACATTTTTAATTTAATGTTAAACTAAGAAAGGATAAGGAGAACTCATCATTTGAAGACTCGAATGCTCCACCGATTAGTGCAGCGGGTTCTGGATTGTTTTTTTTTTACCGCATCGGTTTTATTTAATTTTTTCTTTTAATAATATATTTTAAAAAACGTAAACACGTCACTTACGATTGAAAAAATGTTATATTTACTACTTCATGTCGTTGGCATTTGCATTTCATTTATAAGTTTAAGTTATTTATAAACATTCGCTCTCAAAACTTATTAAAGGTTTATTTGAAAAAACTTTTAATAAGCTTAATATTAAAAATGCTTATTTAACGCTTATTATAGCAAACTTACTTTAAGTTATTTTTAAAAACATTTACTGAAATGCTTGTTGGGTAATGAAGTTGATAATACCGATGAAACTCTTTCTAAGCTAAGAAAATATTTTTCACATGTAAGATCAAAAGTTGTACATCACAATAATAATACTCTTTTGTTCCTAAAAATTTGGATACTTGTGAGTACGTTTTTGTTGAAGTTATTCACAAGTCAAATTTGCAATCACCTTATGAAGGACCATTTAAAATTATTTCGAAATAAATAATATAAAAAAAAACTTTTTAATATACAACGCTTTTATAAATGGACTAAAAAGTAGAAAATAATATTTCTCAGTCCCATAGAATTTGTTTTGATAACTTTTGATTTTGAAATTTTAGCAAAAGTCATTATAAACAATTTATGAGATTGAAAATGAAAAGCGTGGGGCGCATGCAATACAAAGCATTCGATTTAATTGACAATAGTCAAACTACATAACGTAGACCTAAAATTTCTACAGCGAAAGTAGAACTTTTAAATCGATTTTAAGCGGTCGTTATTCATATACCCACATACATATATACATATATTACTTTTCATATCAATTCAAGTTTATTACATGCGCCCCACGCTTTTCATTTTCAATTCCATAGATTGTTTATAATGAATTTCAAAATCAAAAGTTATCAAAACAAATTCTATGGGACTGAGAAATATTATTTTCTACTTTTTAGTCCATTTATAAAAGCGTTGTATATTAAAAAGTTTTTTTTATATTAT